CAGCCTGCGGCCGACAGCCTTAACCCCCAGGCGCGCACCCTTCCCCGTTCCTCCTTCTGCGCCCCTCTGGTGCTCCCCAGCCGTGATACCCCCACCTTACCCTCCCTCCTCTGTGTTCCGCCGGCCATGACCCCTCTCCGTGAACCCCGCTGAATCCTCCCTGGTGCCTTTGCACCCCGTTTCCCAGCCTTGCACTACCTGGCCACGCACATCGAAGATGTTCCCCAGCCGTACTTCTCATTTTGGCGTGCCCCATTTGCTATGTCTACCCCTGCCCTTGCTACTCACCTTTGTCTCTGAATGTCCCCAGTGCTCAGCACCATCAACTGGCAGGATTTGGCAGCCTCTGCCCCCACTTTTCCCACCACCCCAGCTGGCCCTGTGACCCTGCAGCAGGTAAACCTACTGTTCCGAACAGCCTAGGCTGTGCTTGGCACCTGAAGGGGTAGCTCTCTCAAGCAGATGGGTGCTGGCAACTTCCCTAGCCTCAAGTTTCCCACCTGTGAAATGGGCACAGCAGAGGACAGCATCTTGTGCCGTGTGTCAGATGGGTTGCAAGTGGCAAGGGGATGGCGCCTGGGGATGCTGGAACTGTGATAAGATGCTGACTACAGGCAGCAGACACTGTTGAAACAGTTTGGGCAGTGGTGTGGGCAGGTCTGAGCCCTGGGCCTCGCTCACTGGATCATTTCTTTCACCCCTGCCAGGGTCCCTGCTTCCAGGATGGGCCAGAGTTTGTTTTCCAGGAATTCAGGGATACTCTTGGTGATTTTATACCTGGTAAGTAGATATTTTTCCTTACCTGAGCCAAATGTACCTGCGTGTGCACATCTGCAGTCATGCTACATTTGGTCTCCTTTTTTTTTTTGCTTTGCTTTTGGAATTTTGGATGCCTACTCACTGCATGTTTGTCCCACCATGGGACAGTCCGTGAGAAGCGCATTCTCGCTCACCCCCTTAGAGACCTGAGCTGTCACTGAGCTTTCTCCCACAGGAGGCAAATTAGATTCAGGATGCACAGCTGTCACAGTAGAGTAAAAGCATTTCAGAGGGACATGTCCAGAGGGAACCTCCAGAGGGATGTTTAGAACCAGAATGGTGTGCTGGGTTTGGGGGGAGCAGACGTGAATACCTCCACTTAACACTTGTGGCTATTCCTTCCAGATGTATCCACCTTAGTGCCACCACCACTGGACTGTACTGACTATGATTTCTCACTTGGTGAGGAGGTGGCTTTTGGCCCCTGCACCCCGCAGCTGCAGAGCAGTGTGCTGGTGCAGGTTGCCCGACAGAACCTGTCTTCCCCTGAGCCATGCTGGAGAGACCTGGCAGACCAGCAGCAGAAAGCCCTGGGAGATGCCCTGGAGGCAAACAGCCAGGTAGGGACCCCAAAGCCTTCCCTAGGCTGTGCTGTGTTCTGTCACATCCTGTTGAGGTGACTGGAGGGCCCTGGCATGCAGCATCCCCTGGCTCCTGGACAGTGTGGCTGTCTCGACCACCCCTTTCCCCATTTGTCCTTCGTAGCTGCAGGAGACCCTCACACAGAGGCAGGAAGAGCTGGTGTCGCTGCGGGAGAGCAACGTGCAGCTGAAGGAGCTGGCAAGTCAGGCCAGGCAGCTGGCTGCTGTCCTTGACGTGAGTGCTGCTCACCATTCCAGCCCGGCTGCCCTGCGGCCCAGGTTGTCCCTGGGGGACAGTGTGATGTCGGGTGCAGGGGGGAATAGGGTGCAGGGTGAGGCAGCACGGGTGGGACAGGGCCTGGAGGGGGGGAGGTGTGGAATGGGATGGCGCAGTGTGGGGCTGTGGGAGTTGTGTGGTGCAGGCCGATGTGGGGTGGACAGCGTGGGGCAGGGCGGCGTGGATTGGTACAGTGCGGGGTGAAGCAGTGCGGGGGGAGCAGGGGTCAGCGTGCTACGGTTCGGGGCCGGGCGGTGTGGATGGAGCAGGGGAGCACAGCGTGGTGCGAAACAGGACGGGGCTGTGCGGTGCAGATCGCG